CCCTAGTTCCACCGAATTCTCTCCGCTCTCCGCTCTCAACCTATGCCCCCGTCTCTCGACAACACCTTCGGAGCGTTCTTGCTCGCCACATTTCTCGGGCTGGTGTGAGTACATACCGTATATACAGCTTTGGGACTTCGACTGATTCCAAAGAGGAAGGCTGTACGGGCTTACTCTACACCAGTCATACAGATACGTACGCCTCTTTCCAAACGATGCCAAGTCTCTCAAAGCGATTGTGCGTCCTGTGCCGCTCGGTGAATGTGCTGTTCACTGATCCTCGTTCGTCGCACAGGTTGCCTTGACTGTGTATGTAATCGCGGACGACCTTGTCGATTGTATGTCACTAATCCTTTACAGCATCTTGGAGACCTTTCACAGTGTCTTGTGCATGCATACCTGGTGAGAATTGGCAGATCTCCGTCCCTTTCACCTTAACCCTGAGATCATCATTTAGTTACTACTACCTAGTGACCCACTACTTCGACCCGACTGCACTCCTTGATGGCGTTTGGTGAGTCGTTACATGTCGTTACCAAACTGAGCTACTAATTAGCTGGCTCCAGGTCTATCCGAGTGAGTAATGTCTTCGTAGTGTGTCGAGGCGCTCATATCGGAGGGTTGGACTAGATTTCGCCCATATCGACGGTATGCCCATTTTGTCTTGCCGATGGCTTCATCGTCAGCATCTGACTGAATAACCCAGGCATTGGTTGTCTTGCTCTCGGAAGGGTGACTATGAAATCCCTTCTATGCTCGACACGACACCGACTCATATGGGTCCGTAGGTTCTACGCACGCCGCGTCTATTACGGTAAGTACATCGGTGTCAAGTGCGGATAGTTTCTGATGGGTAGCAGTCGGAACGCGATACAGGACTATTGTCCTCATCGTTGTAAGCCTTCCTATCTCTGTGGCATATAGTCCATACCATGCCCTGACCCACGTTTCACGACTGCAGCCGATCCTCATGCTTGCCGTCCTTGGTGAGAACTACTTCGTCCAAGTTCCTCAAGATGGTTGACGTAGAACTTGACGAATACGTGACATGGCTGGGTAGGGTTCGCCACAGGTGAAAACAAGAAGACCTCATCTGTGCCTAACGTAGTACTAACTTGTTGCGTACATTACACCTCACTCAGCCGCCTCTATCGAAGCGTGAGTTCGCCTTCTCACAAAGAACTCGGCGAGTTGCGCTGATCATCATACCGCTTACTCTGCCAGTTTTATCCGGCCCACCTTCGCTGATTTCGGTAAAGTTGCAGTGCGTGCCGAAAACTTTTGCTGAGCGAGGTTATGTTCGGTTCAGAATGAACTGACCCCAACTCTCGTAGTGGACAACGTCCGCTGGCTTTGGCGCAGCCGTGGCAATTGACCTTTTACTTACCGGGACGCTCACCATCACACTTCACAAGAGCCGCACTGGGTTTAAGAGGTAGACCCAAGACGTTACCATACAGTATACAGTCCTTAACCACCGCTGATCTTAGGACCGACTCTCTGATCGACGTGCTCATCATCTACACCATCAATACGGGTCAGTTGGTTCAAGGCCACCACTACCATGGCTAGATGCTTTATGCTCACGCCCACTGCCCACCTCCCGGACAGGTCTTGTGACAGGGTATGGTGTGATTCCTTGCTGGCTACGACACAGGAATATACGTGCTTACTATGCGAGACGTCTCATGACAGGATATTCAGTGTTCTCTCGCTCATCTTCGTGCGTTCCTCAATCACAAATGATACGCGGTATGCGCCAGCTTACACCAAATCCTTTCCTCGTCTAGGCTCTCGTCGCGCCGAACAACATGATCTACTCCGCGTTCAATCTCATTGCTACGAAGTGTACGTCCATGCATACTACCACGTTCTCATTGTTGATCGCGACAGGACACAATTCAGGTTACGCCAACTCCGTCCTCGCAGTGTGAGTAACGGTGCCAGTGAAGGCTCGCCTATCTTTGTCATGCATGCTGATGGACCACTGCTGCCCATGGGAAGGCTCAACTCCCGCAAGACGATCACGGGCAAGATCGGAGAGGATTGTTTCAACACGGGCTCGTTCGCTTTGTCCACTCTTCAGCGTTCCGGTTTTGAGCAGCTTAGTTCAGCAAATAAGCGGAATGTTCACCAGGTGAGTTCGCCTTGCGTGAATTTGTTGCGAAGAGCTATCGTAGGCGTTGATACATCGCGCTTAATGCAGCTCCCGGAAATCAGAACAGGGACATCAAGCACTGTCGTCGACATTGGGATGCAGAGCAAAGTCACCGTGTTAGCTCAGGACGACGAAGATAGGGTTAATACGGAGGGATTGGTGTCGAAGTAGGACCTTTCTACCCCGGGGTGGCCCAGGGTTTGATATCCGGCCAGTGCTCAAGCATGTCATTGAGTGCGTACATACGGCTTACCCGACCCGTGAATGCGAATGTATCATTGTTGAGGTGTCACTTGAGCGGAGCATTTCGCAGATGATATGGCTCGAAGCTCGCATATTCAAGTTGCAGCAGCCTCGAGGTCTCGTTCGCTTAGAGAAGGCAACCACCAAGTTGTAAATAAACAGGGGATTCAAGCCCCGTGCAAGAATATGATCGATGGGCACGAAATTGAGAATGTCTTCGCAGAGTTTGATTGAGAAGGGGCAAGTGACCATCAATTATGCTGATGTCTATGAGGGTGTTCGTGCTACGAGCCCAATATATCCTCGTAAAATACGGGTGATCGAGTCGCGGCGTCCGTGTTGATCCTCAGGGTTACTTGGCTCAGGATGTTCACGCGGAAGGACACACCGGTAGTTATTCATACAAGGTCAGAAGGAAGTGTAAACAGAAAGGAAGTCACAGCACCACGAGTGACGAGGATGCAAACGGGGCTACACTGGGAGTATGGATCGAGTTGTGAATGGCGTTCAAGGGTAAAGGGATCCCGGGCTGCTTACGTTTCTTGTTCTTCTTATTTCGGCCCGATATGAAGCCCGCGAGGAAATGGATCATACTTGCGGTTTCCTCGCCCACGGGTCTGATCCATTCGGCAGGGAGGGAGAAGCCATACTAGGACAAGCATCCTTGAGTGTGAATCACCCTATCTCGAGAAGTGGCAGGAGAACGCATACCGTTCCAGTGTCGCGTAGATGTACGGAATAAGAGAACTTGATGCCGGCCTTGGCATACATGTAGTCGACGACGTTTCCGGAGGCTCTGTATGGTATAGTGAATCAGAGTATCCATAGATCTCGTTAGATGAGCTCACTTGTACAGTTGACGGCACAGGCTTCCCGTCTACGGGGCGCGTCAGTCAGACTAGTCAGACTCGATCAGGTAGGCATGACTCACAGAGAAGGGGGTGCCATGAACCTGTTTGATGGCGTGCACAGCTCCTAGTGCCGCTTCAAGTTGATCCTCCGCATCCTTGGGAACCTTCTTGCATGAGTACGAGAAAGGAGTTGACACTATACCGCGAATGAGTTACGCGATCACGTCGCATTGAATACTCTCAGGAACGGAAGACTAGGCTTAGGACCTACCCATCTGGCCGTAGCTTCGCAGGTCGACGTAAGCCTTCAGCGAAGACAGAGTGGTTATAAAGTTAGCGATATTGTTGACTTCCGGCGCCTCGAACGGACGATGTCCGGGGTACCATGGGGAACAAGGATCGGCGTCTACAGCCTCATATGAGGCTGTATCATTGACACCAGCATCCATGAGAGAAGGAAGCCGAGATTTGGACTTCCATTTGTGGCCCTGAAAACGCCATGATTAGGTGTTTGTCGACCATATGCAGGGATAGCGACTTGCCCAATTCCTGGTGATGATGGTCAGCCGGGTTTTGAGTTGCAAGTAAGCCTTGACTAACCTGTTCATATCAATCCCGATGCATTTCTCGTCCGGTCCGATGTTCTGTCTATTCTTGTACCTGTAGACAAGTCAAACTCCCGGCCTTGACATGGCTCAGGATTAGACGTACCAGAGACGGTCATTTTCCCAGGTATGTACGTACCCGTCCGGATTGGGTACAGGAATGACGTAGAAATCCTACAAGACCCCGACACCATGAACGCGATTATGAGCCGTAGGACAGATGAAGCCTTACAAAGTAATCCAGCCAGGACGACAATGCAAAGTCTTCAGTCCCATCAACAACTAACGCATGTGCCAGGTACAACGCTGTAGATGTCGCTATCCACTTCGTCATGCATGAAAGGTATGAGCATAGCTTAAAGAATCGTTTAGATACCGCTGACCTCACGAGCGTGCTGAGCACCGGTGATTACAAACCCTGTTTTCTTCGTAGTCGACGACTTTCCCCGGTCGCGTAGCTCAAGATCGCCCCGGGAGAGATGCATTGCAATCATCTCTCTGCCTTCAGCCGAGTGGCCTATGTTGATGAGTTCTACCACGTGCGGATATGTATTTGCCAAGTCCCGCATGAAGTCCTCTATCTCATATAGCGGGTGGTAGACAGAGTGATACGTCGAGTTAGCAAGGGTGCTGAGATTCCATCCTCGCGCGTAGAGAGACAGGTCCTCGAAGCGCTGGATTGCTACAGAACCTGCCTCAGGGATGGGCAGGTCACGGCTCCGTTCTGGCTCCTGGAAGTAGACGTCCATATGAGATTGGCCGACGCTCCACAAATAAGCATCGAGGTTCTAGGATATGGATTCGGGTCAGTTCATCCCGAGCGCTGTCATCATTGTTGAACGACTACGACCTCTGTCAGATAGAGTCCGCCTTCCGGCGCAGCCCAGCCCCAGAGTTCAGGCTGTGATAGAGCATATCGTCTCAATATGCCATGAGGTACAGGCTGTTCAAAAGCTTCCTGTGCATTTGTGAATGATTTTTGAGAGTAAGCAAGACCGGCACACGACACGAAAGTGAGCCAGCGCTGGAGCATCCTCATGATGGTCCGGGTTCAAGTCGAAATGGCGCCGTCACATACACACGTTCCATCAAATAGGGCGTTCTGTGGCAGGTTATATATTACGTAAATTGTCTGCTTTCAAGCCTTCGATAGCTCAGTTGGAAGAGCGTGAGACTGTAATCGGGTATTCCGTCACAAAAAGTGGCATCTCAAGGTCGCTGGTTCGATCCCGGCTCGAAGGATTCCTTTTTGTCTTGTTTATCGCCCCTCCTTGCACTTGTTCCTTCTTCGAACCAAATTCGGACCTGTACGCAATTTATACTTGCCGACAGCGAAGTAGATGCGAATTCATATGTTCGCACAAAACTGGTATACATAGTACAAAAGGTGGATACCACATGCATTTCAGCCTTATTGTTTGCGAGCAATATCCAATGCTGAAGCACCGGGAAGTGTCAGGCGGAATACCATGAATTGGTTATCAACGTCCAATCCGGCGTCGAACGGTTTCCCTAACGCAATACCTTGAGTGCTGATGAAATCATTGTCGGCCTAGGTACAAGCCACGCGGCGTATCAGCTCATCTTCTAGCGGAAGACGTCTTCAGAATGGCTTACCGCAGTGAACAGGAAGAAGTCGTCCGGGAAGTCGGGGTCCATACAAGGAGCAAGAGCGAGGGACTCCCACTTCGCATCGATGAGAGTCTGGTCGACAGGCTTGCCTGATTCACAGCGTTCAGACACTAGCGCAAACCCCGAATGCCATGAACTCTTACCGTTATGCACGCCAAACCTCCCGAGTTGCGTATCGTCGATGAAGTCGACGAACGAGACGTAAGTGCCAGGGGTGATGCTATCGTCCAACTCCCCATCCGTTGCGATTGGGTTAGCAGGATCGTCGTAGCGTGTGCCGTGGATGTCTGTTGCGTTGCTGATATCGAGCAAGTCGGCTTGCCTGCAGAAGGTGTCAGCGCGAATGATGAATGCATAGTCCAGACCTCAAGATTCACTTGTAAGAAGCCTTCGCATCGTCTCCTCCATGGCCGTCGCCATCGCGGGCCAACACAAGGAAGACGCCTTCGCTCACGAAGTGTAGCTCACTCGCAGCTCGGGTCTTGCCCTTTTTGCTCAACGGAAGCGGGACGACGTATTCTCCGATCAGGGTCGGACGCACTACCAACGCGTCCGAGATGTCGTAGGCAAGGAGACGCGTGTACCGGGAGGTGGTCTTGTCGGAGCCGCCATCTTGGACGGTGGCAGATTGCAACAGAGCATACAACGTCTTTCCGGACGAATCCAGAGTGAGGCCTTCGAATCCTGATCGAACAAGATAAGAGACAGGTTGACCCCTACATATATAGCTACAAACCTTGGTTGCCAGCCCGGCCTGTCGTCGGGTCCGTGGCCGAGGTGAAGTTGAGCTTGCTATCGATGTAGGGAAGGATCGCTTGTGGCGGCTGTACCGTTTCGATGAGCTGGCCTTGAGGCGACATCAAGTAGATGTACGGCCCGTATTCGTCGCTAACCCAGAACCTGCACAGAATGGTCAGACAACCTAAGGCGACAAACTTTGTGTACCTACGTTCCATCCGCGTTGAGCACGAGGCCTTCAGCATCAACAGCGAGGTCACCGTTGGATGGTGCGATAGGTAGCGCTGGATCCTCGATCGTGAGGAAGCGCTCGAGGGCTTCGGCCGGACGAACGCCTAGAGCATCCAGGCCAGTCGTCTTGCGGGATTCACGTTCAGTATAGAGCAGCGTGTCCCTATACGTGAGTTGCAAGGTTTGCAGAGCATCGTCGAAGGAGAGATTGTCCGGGTCATAGTAAGGCGAAAGCACGAAGTCGATTTCGTGCTGTCGGGCCTGATAGTCGATGGTTCCATCACTGGAGTTAACGAGATGTCAATGGTAGGCTTGCAGACAGCGGAAGGATATATTCACATGTTGAATCCCCTATCGGGCTGCGCGACGATCGTCCCTTGGAAAGTACCGTCGGAGTTTTGGACGAATGTGCCTCTTTTGAGTGCAATGGCACTGCCGATTCCGCCGATTGTATCGCCTGGTATGTCATGAGAATAAATGGCGCAGCGCATTAGTAGAGAAACTGACCCGTCGACTCTGTAAAGTTCGATGGTATCAAACCAAACCCGACAAGACCCTGGATCGACAGGATCAGCGTCTACGGCAAAGCGTGCGTGGCTCGAAGTAGCACAAACCTTGTTGACGTACTGTTTGCCTCCTAGGCTCACAGTAACGGCAAAGGAGGGGTCAGGCTCTCCGCGAGGAGACCTCTGACTAAACGGCCGTCCATAAGAGACCGCTGCTTGAGAAAGCAGGGCGACGAAGGCCAGGACGCGAGTAAAGCCCTTCATGCTGCCGATGAGGAGCATCGGCCCATGTCTCCAGAGTCTGGCTTATATAGAGAGGCTTGTGACTCCCGTTGACAGCGAAGACTGAGGAGCTATTTCCCGAGACTTTGATGGTACCATGCGAACGTTGCGCACGTTCGTGAGGATCGGCACGAGCACACGGATAACAATCCAGGGCATTCGCGTTGTATCGGCTCCGGCGTGGCACATATGCACAACTGCAACAGAGGTGCGTGATGTGGGGTGAGTTCTATGGATTCATGCATATGGGTTATTTCGTGGATCGTTCCCGCATCGAGATGGCAAACGTTACCGCCCGAAGCGCCGGAACTGAGGCCGTCCTAGCTATTTCAACCAAGATTCAAGCTGTCTCGAGCCAGCTTCATACTATGTGACGTGCGCTGTTAGAGCGGATACACTTAGAACTCTGTTACCAACTTACCGGTCTTCGTACATTCCGAGTCGGAGACTTGATTACCTAGGAGGGCCCGTACTAGTACGCGGTCATTCTTCATGTCCAGCACCGTAGTAAGCGCCGAGGAAGGAGGTTGTAACATAAGCGCCTGTGAATCCAGTGGCGCTCAAGCTAACAGTGCTGCCACTGCAGAGTAAGTAACGTACTAACTTGGGACGCAACTGGCTTACCACCACGAAACGTTCGCTCTTACTATGGCCACTCCCGTCACATTGATGGCTGTTTCGAATAGCCATTCTTCCGAGTCCCATTGCTGGGTGTCGGTCACGGTGGCCACGCAGCTGGTACGGCAACGACTTCAGTAGTGCTTAAATGCGACATATTCAGGTACTTCATCGTGCATCCTTCGACTCTCACTGTGAGTGGAGATAGGAAAGACAGACCCCTTGCGATCAGCATTGTCAAAAATCCGCGGGTTCTCGCCTCTATCACGCTAGATATAGCATGCGCAAGAGAGCATCATGTATCACGTTTGGTGAGCGTGCAATTGTCGTCACCAAAATCTCACGCAGGTGGCACTGATCACATGTGCACAGTACGAAACATATCATAACGGGTATTGCTGCTATTTCATGAGAAACACCTGTGCGCAGCTCCTCTCATCCAAAGCTCGCTTCTGTGATTGCGTCTTGCCTAGCTGCATCCCAGCTACGCAGAATCACGCAGGCTAGATACAGAGCTGCCCTGTTCCAAGCTAGGCTCGAATACCGCCTGCTAGTATAATCATAGTCGCCATGGTACTCAGAGAGAGCGAAATACGCCCGGAGTTGGCTGTGCCTCTCGACCCTGCGTTGTTACGCCTATCGGAAGAAGAGAGCGAATTCCTCCATGCCGTGATCAAGCCCAAAGACGATGAAGCACTCAAGTCGCGGATACTCGATATACAGAAGCGGTAGGCCCTTTTACGCGTGATCGTCTTTCGCCCGTTATGAAAGCTCACACGACAATACTGCAGTGCTTAGTATGGACTTCCTCCACTGGGCACATCCGTGCGCACTCAGGCTGACACCCATTGACTTTAGCGAGAAGTATCCGTACCCATGCATCCGCGGGTTCCATTTCGTGAACCTCATGATGAGCCTGAACGCGGCTTACCCCCGCGTCCTCGACGCTGGCAAGAATGGGGATACCCTCTTCCTAGACCTCGGCTGTTGCAGTGCGTAGTCACCGTCAAGGATCAATCTTGATGTTTATACACATATTAACTTTATCCATGTATCTTCTATCTTTCAGTGGGAACAGACCTCCGGAAGCTCGTTCACGACGGCTACCCCGCCTCGCGAGTGCTCGGGTGCGACCTCCGCCCGGAGTTCATCCAGCTCGGGTACGAGCTCTTCGACGACGCGGACGCATGCCCCATCCATTTCTTCACCTCCAACGTCTTCGAGCTCCCTACGTCTGTAGCTGCAGCAGACATCCCTGCCCCCGAGACGCTGCGTCCAACGGACGTATCCGCCGTGACGGATATCTCGCAACTGCGTGGGGCGTTGACGCACATCTACACTGGTGCCTTGTTCCACCTGTTCGACAAGGAGACGCAGCGAGAGCTAGCCCTCAGGTTGGTAACATTGCTGAACAGGACGCCGGGAGCCATCGTATTCGGTCGCCATCAGGGACTCCACGAGGAAGGGTATATCCACGATCATCTAGGCCGGTACGTATAGTTTTCCGCTATGTCATGCACACCTTTGAGGAAATCTTGACGAATTAAGCAATGCAGCGACCGATACTGCCATTCCGAGAAGTCCTGGCCGCAATTGTGGAAGGACGTCTTCACGGAGATTGAGGGCGAAGGATTCGCGGAAAGGGTAGTCGTACAAGCCGAACTTAGGGAACAGTTCGGGCCGGAGGTGTTCGGGACGAAGGTGTCGACGTACATGCTATACTGGAGTGTCGAGATCGTCTAGCTGCCCAAGGCAGAAAGCAAGTCGTATATTATTACCCAACAGACTTATTACTCAACAGACAACCGTGTACATGCTATTTCGTTTCCCTGACCAAGCGACGCGCCAAGAAACCTACGCGCCGAACAAATCCATAAGTCCAACACAGAGCGCTATGTACTCAAAGCATTAGAGATAAACGGTCAAGCTTGCTGAGCAAAAAACCTCAGGGGATGATGACCGCACGGAAGCGCGCCGTCTCCCTCCGCTCGAACGCCTCCTGCGCCTTATGCAGCGGGAACCGCTCGACCATACACTTGATCTTCTTCGCCTGCGCGAACGTCAGGCACTCCTCCGCGTCCTTCGGCGAGCCGCACGGCCAGCCTCGAATCGAGAGCCGCTTCACCAGCAACGAAACTACGATCCAGCCGAAACCAGTTTTCGTTAGCGCACCACTCCATGAGTATTCAGTGCACAACGACGACTCACGAGGCGAAATCCGCATCGGCTCCGGCT